CAACATTTTTGTTACAACAGACCTGTTTGTAAATATTTAAATGTTTTTTGTATTTTATCGCCAAACTGAGTTTACTTTTTGACGACGATAAAACTGATCAACTCTACAAATACAAGCTGACGATGGTGTTTTAACTCAGAATCATGTCGCAAATTGACATATTTTGATAAGCTGTGATGGGATTCCGTAAGTAATTTAGTCTTACATTATGCCCAACAGCTCACAGTTACAAATATGGATCTTAAAATAAGAGAGTTTTTAAATGTTGTACTTTTCGTATTTATAAATCCGAACCTACGTAAAGGTCTCTCGTGATTACTTACAGTCCCAAACAAAAAAAAATCCAATTGGATATTATTTTTATTTCAATATTTTTCTCTAGGCACAAGTTGTTGAATTAGTCTTAAGAGTTAGCGACGTACTCATTTAAAATGTCAAAATTTTCTCATTCAAAAACTTTCGAGGAGTTTAAATGATACTTAAAAGCAAATGTTTCACAAAAACTCTATATTATACTTAACACATTCATTAAAATTGAATGTATAAAGAAAGGCAAAAACAATTAGTCATCTAAAGTTAAGAATAATACGAAATCGTACAATCCACGTAAAGTAAACAATATTACATTCCTTTCCTATAAAATACTTATGAAAAGAATAAATATCAAATCGTCCCCAAATCATGCCACGAGCGAAATAAACCACAACCCAATAAAAACAAATAAAACAGATAAACTAATGGATTTTTTGGTTTGTCAGAAGGAGAGACGAGATATGTGACATAGAAAGAAAGAGATATATAAAGGTGATAAGAAATAATACCTACCAATAAATGACATCCGTCGGCCGAGCCACAGATTGCCTATACCAATAAACGAGCGAGCCGCGCGGACGACCACTTTGTACGGACACTATTGTACTCACAAATTGAGTTTTAGCTTTCCAAAACACTGTCCATAGTAAGATACGACTTAATTCCGGGCCAGTATCTGCTTGTCCCTGAATTAAATGGGTGATAAATTCCGCCTGCGTGGGAGAGCTCCACACCGACCGCCGCCGCTACAGTCCCTCGTGCGGTGCGTTACTTATGCACTCCGACATAACTTACTCATATGCATAAATAGGACACAAGTAACTCAAAATACATCGATAAGACGTGAGAAGCTACTACACCAACACTTCCAAATTAGAGTTTTTCTCTTCAAACAGAACTCTTACAGGCACAAATAAAACATCACTATATCTTACTAGCAAAAAATACTACATGTTCAGCCCTTACAAGCCCGTCGACGGCATAAAAAACGTTTACAAGCATAAATACGACATGAGATACGTTTATAGGCCAAAATACTACATGAAAAATGTTATCATCGTTTGTTAAATCATATCGACAATATGATAAACTCTTCTATGGACACCTACAAAATGAGCGACTCTGACAGAACAAATCGTTGATGAAATACTTCAACAATATCAAATATAATACGACATGAGCAACTCTTACAAGTGCAACTACGTCAACCGCTAAATACTACGTGACCAACAAGTAGAAGTAGGCCTATATGTCTTTCTTAGCAACTCTACATGAACTTACAAGGTCAACTTAAGATAAACACAATACCAAACAGAGGTTACAACGAAGACAAGTACAACTGTAGTTACAAAACTAAAGAATTAACATAGATTTTTTCAATTGTAAAAAACAACTATGGAAAAACTACTAAATTTGTTCAGGCCTGAGTCCTCTAAACTGTCATAACAATCAATTAAACCTGACAAATTTCTTGAAACGTTTCTTCATAAATGTCCATGTTAATTGTATGCACAGAGAAAGGTGTGGTAAAATTGTATTTCACTTAAATGTTTGCTGAAACGTTATTTGTTAAACTAGACTAAATTTTCATTATTGAATTCCGTAGATACGAATTTGTAGATGGCCAAACTCCTCGCCAAGATAGAGAGGTCCTGTCCACGGGCGCCGGCGCTTGCCCCTGATTGATTGAACCTCTGAAAAAGGCAAATTTGGATTCTAATGTTAATCGGGCGCGCGTCTGGCCATTACAGCCTGTTTGATGAGCAACTGGTAGACCACCCAGTGACCAGCGAACAGTGGCCAGACTCTTGCGTTGAGCTATTGGTTGGATATCCAAGTGATTAACTTTGACTAACCAATTGTTAACTTTACAAATACATGTATACCAAGGAGAAGTCAAAGTGTAATTCTTAACAAATTCGCCATACAGGCAAATAAGCTATTACCAGGTGTAAATAAGGCGTAGACCTGGAAACAATTTACTTTTCGTGTCCATCCACTGAGGCCAAAATATATACAATGTTATTTTATTATTGTTGACTAACGATTTAAGACATAGGAACAAACTAAACCTTGCACAAATTTTGGACTGTGTGAGACCATTGCTTGTATCATATTGCATAAGCTCTCCAGATATTTATGGAACTTTTTCAAGAATATGAACTGTAAATGCTCTTCACAGCATTTAGAAAATTTAATGTATACACGAACTTCGTTTACATATATTTATTGTTTCACGTTCTAATTATATTCTTATGCAAACACACAAAAAGTTAAAGGCCTGATGTAAACAATAAGTGGTTAACAATTTAGAAGTACAGGAGGGGCTAGGAGACCAATCATTGGTGACCTACTGCAGGAAGCACCGCCTACTAAATTAGAAAGTCGGCAAGGACGTTGATAATGATGTATCCTGCCAAGTATTTCCTTGAAGAGCAGAACCCGATGTATTCAACAAGCTCTAAAACCTTAGGTAAATATTTTGACAAAGAAGTATGATAAAATAACTACTTTGTAGAGCGATACAAACGTCCGGGATTTTTGAAGACACGTGACCCAAAGTTTTTTGTGAAAATTTGTCACTAATCTTTAGTTTAATGTGCCAAGTAACAAAAAATTTTGTGGAAAAGGTTTATAAAAACTATATAAGTTAAATCAAGATGTTTTTTGTGTTTGTAAGAAATCGATAATTTACATCTTCCACTCCTCATATTGAGTGTACCTATTATATCAAATTGTAAGAAAACCTAATTATATCAAAACATGTTTTAATACAACAACAAACGTTTTGTGTGATACTCTTCTTCAATATTAATTTAATTTCCATTCACCCGCGCCAACGGGTGTCTTGATCGTAGTCCAATTATGAATAAAAATCTATGTCCAGCTCATGAACCAGTTCAAGACCAGTTTCAGTAAAAACGATGGAATTTGATAAATCGGCTGCGTCTGTTCATGCTATAGTACAATTAGCGAGGTTCTTCCATAAATTAGCTGAGCCCGCAGTTTGGCGCGGTAGCGTAGCAATTTGTCTAAGCTGATTTACACTACGTGGTGCTGCACATGCGCGGTGAGGCCGCGCGGTTCCGAGCGCGCATGTCTTAATACACAAGTAATTACGACAGGCGCGGATATAACCCGTATTTGTTTGGATGTTCGAATAGAACAATTTTAAAAAGCTACTATTTAAGTCATACTTCCAATTGTCCGTACATATAGAAAGGGATAATATTGCATTGGTTATCAAGTTTTAAGCTTGAAGGAAAATCAGGCAAATGAACGTGTAAATGATCATATGTGAATGTAAAAAATAGAGTTGGAATTATTTTTTTTTAGCTTTAGATACGTTTTTTTTAACAAGCATTTAAGGCTACTTAAGCGGAACATAATTAATATGTTCTCAATTTAGAGTAATAACTATAAAAGTCATTTACCACTTTAATCACAGAACAGTAAATTATATTTTCACTCTTCGCCTAAAACTAGTCATGAATAGATTATTCACTATAAATCGCTTATTTTAAGTAAACTACTCCATATGCTAACGAACAAATATGCTAGCAAAAGAAGCAAACCCAAAGAAAGTGTAATGACAAACTTGCATTATAAGATTGATAGTGGCCGCCTGAATGTTCGTCTTTTCTTAGGTTTTCAGAATTGTTTAGTGAAACAAATTTAGCATACGTATAATGTACGGGGAACGCCTGAAGGCAGATAGTAGTTCAAGTCTTCCTAACGAACGCAACGCGTCTAAGACCAGCAATGTATTTGTATACAAACAGGTCGTTTGTATTTGTGGTGTGAAATGTGGAGCCATAGACTATGCATATGATGCTTCCAACACCTTGTTAATATTTCGTTATTCACTATATTACATTGAAATAAAATATAAACTAACATTCCATTTGTTAACGTATCACAATGTAAAAGCGAGTTACAACTAGATTGTTCGTCCTTGATATTTTTATTTTTTTTTCAGAAAATGAACTACGACTAAATATCAGCTCAAAGTTCGTCACTCTGACTACCCTGAACTTTACATTCATCATGCATCATGGCCTTTTTAATTGGTTGAAATAACCCATCGGTGTATAATACTCTACTTATTTTACATCGGGAGTAAAAGTCCTTTAATCCAAGGCCGTAGTGAGACAAAAGAGGCTACACGTTAGTCCCAACACACCGAAACAGATTGCAATAATTAATAATGGAGCGTATGCCCAATGTACACGTTGATGTATATGTTACATGTTTATGTTTACATGTTTGTCATTACTGTTATTACCATGGCAATAGCCCAGCAGGTGCGACGGTGACACACAACGCCGTGGCCTTGTAATAGAGAAGGCCATAAATACATCAAATAATTTATTTCACAAGCAAACTAGACATACAATAGCCTATTTTTATAAATAAACTGATAGCTACGTATATTTCTATTCTACATTGTTACTTTTTTGTATTATGATTCGTTAAATAGCTCACAGTATACCCTTATAATGACTTATATAAACGTATAATAATTTGATTAAAATACTCAGACTTGCTGCTATCATTACGCTGCTTACTTAATCAAACAAATGCAATAACTAAAAATTCATCTCATTGAAAATATTTTATTTTAAAATACAGATTTTATGTTAAAAATATTATATACATAAATATTATCACCAATCCGTTGTGGCAATAGTAAGAAAGAGTTGATGCAACTCTTAAAATTATACACTCTTAACGAACTATACACAAATTATACACGCAGGACGCCCACGTCGTCACCTGTATATCTGTGGACTTTTTGTCTTGTAGAAGAGCTCTATCTTGGAGTCGTAGCAACAGTAGATGTACTTGTTGCATATCCCAAAGTGTATTAGGTCAGCGAGGGCATCCTGGATATAGGATGTGATGCCGTTGGCTAAAAAAAGTAATATATATAATAATAACACTATTTATCAGCTCCTGTATTTAATAAATAGTTATGTAATATAATATATGTTTTAATAAAAAGGTGCATTAATCCACAAATAGATGCTTCGTGTAATTAAAACTTGTATTGAATTTTGTGAAGTTTGACGTAGATTCCTGGACCATATTTTGTAACATTATTGTTGCATACAACGATTAAATTGGTAATTTTGTATATTTTCTATAAATTGTTTTAACAAATCAGAAGTAAAATACCTTAATAGGCCTACTGTACATTCTTATTAAATGGCGACCATACCAAGTAGTTATTTTAAGCCAAGTATGAATGGAGATGAGTGTAGAATGAGTGGCATAATGGATACCAGGCCTAAATATAAATTTAAATATAAATTTAAATATAAATTTAGTTACGAATTAGTACTGTGTTTCACAAATCTAGATAATATTTATAATTACCTTTGAATTACTAATAGTATTGCAAGAAATAAAGGCAATAACTAAGAATAACCTTAAACCACTAATCATGTGGTGACTACACGCTTATTCAACCGTTAATAAAATATTGTTTATCGAATAGTCATGTCTATGACAAACCATTTAAATTGCAACTACCTTTAAGTCGTAGTCAATTTCGTAAAAAATCAATCAAGTAATTAACTATACTATGTAATTTATTAAATCGTCATTAAAGGGTGTCTACTTCGATATCAAAAGTAGAGATGGTCATAATCATTGCAATACCATCTACTTGTTGTTTCAACTGACCGTATGTTTCCAGGCTTCCAACAACTCCAATGGAAATGCATTTCCTTTTCTTCGGCTTGACTTGCCAAGGGGCTTCAGGTCTTAATAACCACCCTCTGCCTTCATACTTGCGACCGTCCCCTCCAATCACGAAACTACAACACCAAAACTAACAGCGATTTGCGGATCTGCAATCAAATATGTCATTCTTTCGCGAATATTAGCTTTAGAAAACGAAATTCCACAAATATTCGTTAAAACGATATTTTTTATACCTACTTGATGGTTGTGGTCAGTATAATTATTCAAAATTGATAAACTCAACAACAGTTACAGTTACTCGTAAAAAATACACACTAAGCTACTCTATAAAGCTGTAAATAATTTTATATAAAACGATATTTTGTATACTTGATGGTTGTGGTCAATATAATTATTCAAAGTTGATAAACTCAACACCAGTTACAGTTACTCGTAAAAATACACACTAAGCTACTCTATAAAGCTGTAAATAATTTTATATAAAACGATATTTTGTATACTTGATGGTTGTGGTCAATATAATTATTCAAAGTTGATAAACTCAACAACAGTTACAGTTACTCGTAAAAATACACACTAAGCTACTCTATAAAGCTGTAAAGAATTTTATATAAAACGATATTTTGTATACTTGATGGTTGTGGTCAATATAATTATTCAAAGTTGATAAACTCAACAACAGTTACAGTTACTCGTAAAAATACACACTAAGCTACTCTATAAAGCTGTAAATAATTTTATATAAAACGATATTTTGTATACTTGATGGTTGTGGTCAATATAATTATTCAAAGTTGATAAACTCAACAACAGTTACAGTTACTCGTAAAAATACACACTGAGCTACTCTATAAAGCTGTAAAGAATGTTATAGAAAGACTTTAAGTGAACTATTGTAACAACATTGAAATGTACAGCTTCTTCCTACTTTTACTACCACATTTTAATTTTTGGAATAATTTTGTATGTAATTAATTTTAAAATTTTTCTATAATGAAAAATAACCTTTTACCCATTCACCATATCTATTCTTAGTCAATGTTTAAACTGTAAGTAATATTCCTAAAAAAAAAAATACAAATTTTTTCATATATTCATGCTTATTTTTTGCAGCTTTAAATGGTACGAAACCTACTTCCAAGAGATGTCTAGGAGGCCCATTTCTATGTGGTTTTTCTGCAAAGTCTGCATCGACTGGATACATTCTGTAAGGCTGTTGCAAGGCAAAGTTTCAGTGTAGTATACGTTGACGTTCTTGGCAGGAAGGGGGAGTTCGTCCCCCTTATCCCAGGGGGGTCCAGCCCCCCATTCCTCCCTAGACACATAGTCAGGCATGTATATTCTCTTTTTCTTGTATTGGCTGAAAGTGTGATCATGTCCGTGGGGGTCTTCTTCCAATCGCTGTAGCCATCCCATGCTATACTCGATTCAAAAATGTATCGTTCTTGTAGTTAACGACTTGTTAGGTTCTGGATTTTCTGATTCTTCGTGAGAGGAACAGCATCTGGAAGTTGAATTGATATTTATGTCTGTGTAATGTTAAAAAGAACCAAAAACACCCTGCTATACGATCAATGATTTTTGACACCTATAGCCGTTTAAAGTAGCCGTTTCAGTTCAGTTCTTAGAAATGATAAGGTACACTTAACAGCATTGTTTACTTACTTAACAGCGTTGTTTAGTTCCACAACACGAGTAACCGACCAATGAGGTTCAAGGGTTGAGAGAAAAAGAGGAAAATCGGAAGTTTTGAACCTCAACTAATCAGCCGTTCAGACCAGTTTAATTTTTAAAGAGCGGTGCACTTAGTGGATGGTACAATGAGTCGTTGCATCACTGTCAGTGGCAATGAGAGTTCATACACAAAAACAAAACCTCTCCCAGTAGTAGTTATGAGTAGTGAATGTCAGTAATTAAAAAACGGTCGTAGGTAAAGTAGTGTACGCAGCTCGCGAAAATAGTGTTAAAGCGATCTCTGCGTAAACTACTGTAACAAATTAAGAATTGCTTCAAATGAAATGTATGAGTACATTAATTATTATATATTATCTAGAAAAATATGAAATCATAGAATTTTACGTAATTTACTAAAACACTGTTGATGAATTATATAGTCAAGTAGTTGATCAAGTGGTGTCCTAGCCTACATATGTCCTAGTCTAAAATAGAGGAAAATACTGGTATAAAAGATGGTGTAATTAAACAAAATAAACTTACAATTACTGTGTTACTGTGTAAATATCAGATATGTTTGCAAACTGTTTGTAAGATAAACTGAAACAAAATAGTAAAATATAAGAGTACAAAAATATAATATTACACTTACATTATATTCTAGGAAGTAAAGAGTCAACCAACTTCATATTGAGGAAATAAAACCGTGAATTTCAAGTATGTTAAATTCCAATGAGAATTACTCAGAGATAAATGATACATATTTTACTTTGCTTATCAGTCTCGTGGGATAAAGCAACGTACTAATATGTTTAGTTTACAAAGCATTCAGTAAACATCTAGACCGTGATGAATGGTTATAGGGCTTTGGAGTGTTTTAAAAGTTTTAATTCCATGTTTTTCATAATCAAATAAATAAATTACGCTACCTAATGCCACAAAAAGAACGTAGTGTTTGTTGACAATCCTATGCAATAATTTGGCACTGTAATTAATATGGAACGCTTTTGGTTTTTAGTAAAATCACATATTCAATATTATAAAAGAGTATATTGATAGCTACTTGTCATCCGTCCATCAACCCAAAGACCTCCAAGATCAGTGTTTTCGTGTAAGTAGCCAGGAAAGGAATACATTACAGCTAAATGCCACATCAACATCAGCCCATGTATAATACCTTGCCTCTAGGCTTGACTGTTATAAATCAGCTGATACTGTTAAAACACCAATTAGAACATTACAAGCCTTGCAGCAACCTCAGCTTAATCCTTTACTAAGTGATGTAAAGAGGGTATTATGTTGCACGGCAATTTCGTAAGCTGTGTAAAATAATTAATGAGATATGCTCTACTTGCAACGGTCAAGTAGATTGAGCGTAAAGCGGTCGAGTTTCTTATGTACTACGTATACCAGTTAGTAGGACCTTTAGGAGGGTGGTTGATAGTAATTAAAGGGTTCTGTAATACACAAATGTAATTAAAACACATTCATATTTTAATATTAATTCTGATCAATCCAGACCATTGGCGAATGTTTATTCAATATTTAAAGGGTTTGATTTTTAATGGTGTGTTATGTAAGTATAAAAGGCACAAGTGTCATAAGATCATAACTTCCATTCAATAAAACGCTTTGCTTTGATCTCACCAATCGATCTAGTTTTTCAAACTTTGAGAGGTATACTTATGGATGTCACCTGTGCATAATCCAAATGATATAAATCCATATTTAAGACCAAAGATTGGTATAAACAATTATTTACAATAAAATTTCGATGCAAAACCTCAGAAGTGAAACTAGACTTTTGTAAACTAGTAAAATTTAAACCAGTCTTAGCCTTGCCCCTAAGGATGCCTCTTCAGTCCTATACTTTTATACGAACGATGTCTGTTTGTGAATTTGTTTGTTTGTTTGTGTGTGAGTGTGTGTGTTTGTGTGGTTGTGTTTGTTTGTATGTTTGTGCGAATCTAAAATATATTTAAAAAAAAAAACCACAAGATTGGAATTAGGGACTTCTATGCATAAAAATTCGATAGGCGTAAACCAATAAGTCAGGAAAATTTATATTTCGCTACACAACTCATTTGAAAATTAAAAAAAATTAAATTACATTCATTAGCCTTATGGGTGAGAAGTAGCCATGTTGGCTATACAAATTAACATGACAACTTTAAAAGTAAAGTATCATAAGTTAACAACAAGCCATCAACAGTGTAAAAGAAAATTTTAAAATACAGAGCTAAAAACATTCAGCTGTAACTAGTGTATTGAGAATAAGGTTATACAAAGGATTACACGTATTATACGTCTGACTAAATATTAAATTCTCATGACAATTGCCGTGAATCGTACAAAATATACAAATTGAAAATGTAAACTGATTATTCTAATTTCTGTTTCACAACACTACTCTATTTCATGTTCTATCCAACATATTACAAAAAAATACAGCAAACTAACTACCCCATTTACCGAGATACGTACGCCTAAAACAATAGTCTTGTAATAAAAATACCAATAGTGTAACTAATAGTGTAAAAACCGTGTCCTCTTCTGATGTTATGTAGACGCTCTGACATTGGATGGAGTAATGATCGAATGATCAGAGTAATCGATAGTTGAATGGTGCAATCGAGTGTAATATCGGGCATTACCCGCAATCATAGTTCACATCATGGCCAATAACACCACATAACACGTACACTGCGTTGTTGTTGTTGCCTCTAGCGATCAAACGTGTAATACAGTTGCTACTGTGCATTGTTCTCGTATTCTTGCATCGTTACAGAACTATTCGGTTACTGTAAGACTCTTAGGGTATATTTAATCTAAATAATCCTACACTCAATTTCTTCAATTTCGTTTTATGCTTTGTTATTGAAAGTGACTTGGGTGAAATATCTAAATTGTAAGATTTTATGGTTAGCAGAACTTCAAAAACCCTTCTCTCATGGGAATTAACAAATAAAATATTTTCAATAAAATGGAACTAAGGATATAGGGTAAAATAAAGGATATTTAAAATGTACACTTGTTGTCAGGGGCCTAATAAGGGTAGTTTTTGATGTTCCCATATCTGTATCATGATTTTATGGGAAAAATCTTCAGTGATAATAAAACAATAACCGTTTAAAATAAAAAAAATGTCTTTAAATGATCAGAACTTTCAGATTAGGAGATTACCTTTTTTTAGAATATTAGGAACTTCATTAGACAAACATTTATTTATAAAAAGATTTGAAAACATATAAATAATCTTGATGAATGAAAACGTAAAACAGGCCATGAAAGATTTAGATTCATAATCAATGGCTGGTTTAATTACTACGTTTCATTACAACTTAGGGCTATATTTTACAAGTAGTTTAAATATGCAATGTTTCTCCAGTGCTTTGATTTAAAATTCCTCGCTTAAAATAATAACATAGCCTATGTTTTTATAAAGTTAATCCCTTTTTTACTCCTCATCTTAGTAATGAATACAACCATACAACCTAAGGTAACATGTTGAGTGGGAGATGGCACTCTGTCATTTACATGTTGATGCGCTCTCGCTGACCAGCTGCAACTCATTATACAGGGTGTCTAGTGTCTAATGTCTGCCCAAGCATTAGCAGGAAGCTGTGAATTATCATCCCATAGTCGTTTGTCTTTGAAAATTAGTAATTATGTAAATTTTCGCCCGTAAAATTCATTAGCTGAAAATTAACTTCCTCTCCTCATTGGTGAGGGAATTTATGACAGAGTTTCAACACTTGCTTATTTTTAGAGGTGAATTGAATTATGTCCGCATTGAATGCACCATTTCTCTGCGTTGGGATAATTGGGGTTTCTATTTGTTTGCATTGCACGGTACTTGATGACATTAATATTCAACAGTCTTTATTAGTAATTTGTAAAAAATTATATCCAGTAATAATAATTTAGGTTTTATACTCTGCCGTAAGCTTGTGTAGCTACGTTAGTCTAAAGACCGTTTTCTTCATTAATCTGAGTATTTAATTTATGAAACTAAGACAATTGCGATGCTGTAACTGTATGCGAGACTGTACACACAGTCTCGTCATTATTATATGTTTCCTGTCAAATTTAAGCTACAAATTACTTCAATATTCTTTTTTTAGAAGAACACTTTACATTTATTGACCTTTTAAACGTATCATCACAGATTTTCTTACAGGCAACAACCCAAAAAGTAATCTGTATCAAATAATGACCAAAATATGTCGACATGACTACATCAATTAACGATAGTTAAATAAATATTTGCAAATATTTGAAAATATAATTGAAGGTAGCGTTTTAATGCTCAATATGAAACCAGTCTCTTAAAAGAAGTACATATACGTATTAAAAACATTTAACTTTTAACAACCGACACGAAACAAACGTAGCCTGTAAGAGCTCCATTGTGATGCTGAGGCCGACGCTGAGTCATGCAGATACTAATAACTCATATTAATTACGGTCGTCAGATGATTAGCTGATGAAGCGATCCGCGCTGAGCCTCAGGCCAGACCGAATATGCAGATCATAAACAGAAGGAGATAGAGACGCTATCTTGGACCAGCCGTCGTGTACTCAGTGACTTGGCGAGAAGCGCGGGAACGTACTTGCTATTTGGAGGGAAACTACCCTTCAAAACACGGTTACTTAAAGTGTTCAAAACCCCTTGAAGCCATAGTTATTTTTGTAATATGAATTTCCTACTTTCCATGTAGATTAAACAGCTTCAAAAAAATAATGCAATTGATAATAAGTAAGCATATAAAACTTTAATGATCGTCTTCTAATCGACGATTACAAATGTCATATATTATAAACTGTAAACTTTGCGATCATCATTTAAGACCCTTACCAAATAATAATACAGGCATATTTTGGTATATCAAAATGGAGCTTAAGATGTGTAGATTTGCTGAACATCATCGTTATAAACAAATTCCTAAAGAGCTCTGCATTACCTGGCTTCAAAGTTTACACGGTTTAATTTATTAAATAAGAATGGCTGGTCGATGAATTAGTTTATGACCCCTAAGATGTAGAAAGATGATTATGTTGGGTGTTGGGGTTTGTTTCATTTGGAAAATTCGTGAGTTATTTTGTACAGGGTTATGTTTAGTTAAAGAAAGGTAGTACAGCTTATGGAGAATTTTGCTCATAGTTTTATGTGAAATGTATTTATGTAGAGCTACAGGTAAACAAGCTTGAATATGATTGAAGAACTAGAGCAAAACATTATCTTATGACACATCAATATCAAGTAGGCCTAATTGATTTTACCGCTATACTACGGTTGTTGTTCGACACTTTTGATTCTATTGGCCATTAATATAATTAGGGACTCTAACGCAAATAGGCCTACACTTTTAGGTTAGTTTATCTTTTCAAATTCAATCATCTGGTGTACACACAAGATCTCACCGTACTTAGCATAGGAAATTTGAACTCATTACCTGAATTTAAAGAAAGGTATTATAATGGGCGTATACCAACTCCGCGCAGTGGTCAGAAATCTGCCAAAACCGACTGTCCAACTCCGCGCAGTGGTCACTTCGGATCCCTCGCGGCACATGTCCAACTCCGCGCAGTGGTCAATTTTGGCTCTCACAGCCCTGACGGCTGAGAGTTTGTTTTTGAAGTTCGAATTTGTTATAAATGTACACAATTTATAACTGTACGAAACCTCAGTAACTAATAAAATAAAGTTAATCAGTACAAAAGAGAATATTTATGTTTCATTTGAATTTGACTATTACCTAACCTAACCTAACCAAACCTAACATGTCACATGAATAAAGTAGTGATGAAAAAATAAAAGTGTAACATTACTTTTGGGACACATATTTAATATGTATAATATTTTGTATTAAACCCTTCATATCTCATTCGAGAGTACAACAAGTACAAGTTAAAGATTGATGGGTAGCGTAGAGATTAGATGGGGCCAGCACGCGGAGTTGGGCTATATACTAAAAGTGACCACCGCGCGGAGTTGGACTGGACCCTTCGGGGGCCATAAAACTTTTCGTCATCTTTAATCTGACCACCGCGCGGAGTTGGGCTATCCCCGTTAATACACTAAGTATTACAATTAAATTTGTTTTCTATTGGATTATGAATGTGGAACTATTTTCTAAATCAGGTCAAAAGAACCTCATTATTCTCTTTCGCACTCTTTTCCCTTAGCGTGGCACGGTCGTAGCAGTTCGTAACAGTAAAACATTATTTACCGGGTGACCCAAAAAAAGGTAATAAAAAGAGAGTTCTTTAACCTTGCAGTAGCTCTTAGTAATAATGTTCTGTACATTAACACTAAGCATGCAAGAGCCTTTCCGTTACCCAGTTCATCATCCCATATCCGCAGTGACTTTCAAGTTCCATAGCGGTCGGTGTCCAGGTAAGTATATGCAGCAAATTACCAACAATACCGGCTTTGGTCCGATTGTACGCGGCGAGTAATTAAATCAAACAATAGACCCAGAGCCTGGTTTGGACCTCTTATCGTGTAGCGAGCATCTTACACACCACGCGTGCACTTCAAACAGCCCGCGCCTATCTGACCTGACTGTCTGCTGGACATTCTGGTAGTAAATTGAACGCAAGTACGTGCTCTTTTATTGTTCCTACTACTGACTTCCACTACTTTATGTCAGTTGGGTCAACATGAAAAAGTTAGTGTAAAAAGAGGTTTACGGTAGCATGTTTGGATGTGAAGAAAGAAGAAAACAGATAGACTGGGTCTGTTTAGGTTTTTTGGGCTTCAAACCGGTCAAGATAAATTTTATTCTCCAGTGCTTTGCAGTTTTTTTCACTTTTTTGCTTAAACATTTGTAGAAACCAACTTTTAAAACCAAATACTGTATAGCATTCCTTACAGAATTATTGAATTTTATAAATGTCAAAATACAGTAGTACAGAATTTTTACATCAAAACATTCGTTCTCAGCGATTTAGGAAAATATAATTACACATTTATATTTAGCTGGATGTATCGTATTTCTCATAATTTTATTTAAGGTCAAATACAAGGTATTCACTGTTAGTTTAACCACTGACTATTGGATATTAAAGTATCAATAGTCAACGGTTTAACCCTATGTTTGTACTACGCGTAAAAGAACACACACCGAGTTCTCTAACCTTGCAGATGCTCAAACAATAACAGGAGACTGCAGAATGAGTATAATACGTCACAATAACATTCAAACATTCAATTACCGCCTGATGTGGCCTGATAAATCGCTGTATGAAGTTACAGAGGGTCATATTTCCTAGTAGATCAATACCCGCCGCTGCCTGATGGTTCTCACCACACCATCGCGCAGGCGCAGTACTACACAGGCGCAGTAGTTGCTAGCGGCGCTGCGCAGTGCTTAGCTCTATTGTGCGCAGTCGCCGCCTCACAAATCATCCGTTCGCTCCTGGAATTACGATCGTTTTGTGCTTCAATTCACTGTATTTTATTACATTTTCTATTCTATTGTGCGGTGCTGTATGATCCATTATTCTTTCTGTCAGCTGATAGGTTTTGTCGGAGTGAGAAATAAGAGGGAGATTGACTCGTAGATTTCTCCGATGCGTTCTGCGAATAGAAAATAGAATGCGAAAGAGAAGGTCATATATTTGGTTGTTTGAATCATAAGTGAATGTTGAAGTGACAGTAAACAGAGACGATGTTGTGCGTTTGGATAGTGCCAAATCACGATATGTAAACTTAATTAGCTTAATGAAGGCAACTCTAAAGTTAAATGATTGATTTGACTAATACACTTATAAAAACATAAATATTTATGTTGAGAAGGTAAATGTCGATATTTTTCCTATTGATGTAATACCCGAAATTTCGTTAGACATGTCAATTATTGGAGCAACACTTACCACAATGTTAGTTGTATCAAACTTAAGTTGTGTCAAACAACAAAAATACGTTCCGTAACCAAATTAAATTAGAGTTCGCCAGTTATTGCACACACTAAATCCAGTAGCACAGGTTGCCATTGCAGCTTTTCTATTCCGAGAACGACGTTTCGTAATGTGCTTCCACCGTCATCAGGTGTGTGATTACCCGCCTCTCTCTGTTGTCCGTAGGCCTTCACTGTGGGATCGAACCAGCCGACCGGTAAATTGGGCTTACCACAAAATGTTCGGCGATTTTGAGAAAGTCTGTCGAAACGTTTGTCAAGCCATGTCAATGAAGGTTTCGTTTGCGATGTGTATTTGTGATGTTGAGATAACATTTTCATCCTTAGGGTGTATAAAACCCTCTACACGGAATAAAAATTCAGGAAAATCTTAAACAGTTTTTTAACCTATTTTTTATCTTTTCCTTTTAATTTTCGGCATCGACAATTTAAGTTTTAGTTGTCTGAAGGAACTCGAACAAATTATATGGTTGGGCTGTTGTATAAAAGATTGGTCTCCTTGTTGTTTTGCTGACAAATTAGATTACATCTGATCATTGCAATTTAAATCCTCATGGATGCCAAATGAGCACCCAAAAGGAAGTGAATGCTGTGCTCCTTTAAAATGGTGAAAACCAAAATCAAGAAAACGATACTAAGCAAGAAACCATTAAATTCAAGATTTTATTCAGTGATTACAATAGTGGCAATAGATTAAATAGGCGGGGAGCGAGCTGGTCTAGTGATTAGAGTACGGGACTTCGGTCCCTGAGGTCCCGGGTTCATATCCCGCCATGTCACCAATGAATTTTATCCAAGTGATAGTACCACAACCCCTACGTATAGCCTGAAGTGACGTGAAAAACAATTCCGGGATCGTGTCTAGTGTCTTAGGACAAAAAAAATAGATGAAATAGGTGGAATGAATTTTCAAATGTTTATTGAATATCAAGTTACTTAAGACCACAACTAAGACATTCTTGTATCGGTTAGTTTCAACTGAATACAAATAAAAATTGTAAAGGGAATTATTTGGAAAAAACCTGTCATGATACTTTCACAAATATGCTTTTCCATTTTCATTTTGTCAGTACGAATTAACTTGCATAGATGAAAACAGAAAATATGATAGGATTCGCTATTTTCCACTCTGTATTACAGCATCCCTTTGTATAATGTATTTTAGGGTTTTTAATCATCTGTAATCACAATAAAAAGTATTATCAACTTAAAGTTTCATCGTGATTTGGATGGATACATAATCAGGAACAAAAATGCAAAATCTACGTTGGAAAACTCCCTGTGTAAAGAAAATTGTCGCAAGTGATAGACTGCGACCCGGTTGAGGAAACGCCACATCACCGACTCTAACAATAGCCACGCTTATTTCGCATTTCACAATGCGCGGTCAATTTTCTCTGATGGGTCGGGATAAGAGGCACGAGCTCACCGCATTAGGCGCAGCGCTCTTTAGTTAACTGGAAAAATTGACACTGTTCTGGCGGACATCACGAGTCCATTTCTACAAATATTTAAAGTGGGGAAGAGATGGAATAGTTTCTCTTGATAGAGGATTTCTTCTGTGTTACGATTATTTTGGTAATAATAGTTTATGGAGCTAGTACGACTTTTGTCGGGGGGCGAGCCGGTCTAGTTTTAGAACGCAAGGCTTCGGAGCCCTAGTAGTCCCGGGCCTTAATCCCGCCAATCACTGATGAAACTTATCCATGTGATAATGCCGCTTTCCTCTAGGACTCCTGAAGTAACGTAGAAATCAGTTTCGGGCTAGAATCTAGCGTCAGGGATTTGAAAGTTGGGCCTAAAAAGTATGACTTTTTCCCGATACTGAGTATGCTTCTGGATACGATGACCAATGAGTACCGTTCCTCTCCGTGTGTGTGATTCCTCCGAAAAGCAGTTCGATTTGTAGCAATGCGGAACCAATCAGTTAACAATTACTAACTTTTCACTATCCCCAGTACTGTAGGGTATATCTACAACTCCAGAGCCCAGCACCTACAAGCCTGCAGCTTGTCCAGGTGATTTAGCACCTACGAGGTGTTCGGTCCGGGATATTATCATCTGCAATTAATCAATTTAACACGCATTCCTCACTCGCCCGCTGGTTGAAAATGTCGCTAATTTCTTCTCCTTTTAAGTACCTTCTTGTCTGCAAATTCCGACCGCTTTTTTCCCTGATTCATGCGAACGCCCGCAGAACGTATTTGGCGTGAGCGTTCACATTTTTCGCGATTCTTTAGATTCTTGTGTCAGATACGAGCATAGTTGTGTTTTGTGTTGTTACTTGAAACAGGTTGTGATTTGTGACTTTGTGTCATGCATTTGTGTTATGATATTAGTTAGGTACCTGAATCGTTATTGACATGATCACGATATTGTTTGTTGAATTCTGATAAAAGTCAGTTGCTTTGTAAAGGTTCAAAACTAGATCCAATTGAATCTGAATATAAAGTTTTTATCATCACCATAATCTTTCTCCAAGTTGACGGAATTACTATAAGGACAAATATATGTGGTAGGAGGGGTGGCTAAAATTAAAATCATACCAACAATGTATTCCAACAAATACTTTTATTCAGCTATCATTATATTATACTGTCTTACTTATTGACATAACAATTAATTTTACTATGATACCAATTATGTTACTAAAAGTCATCTAACTTTAAATAATAAATATAATGCGGTCATGAAAATGATGCTTGAATCAATGTTTGAGTAGTCAAAATACAATAAATGTTCAAGTCAATGCTTATAATGATGAAACTTTGCTCAGGTTTGGTGTACAAAGATTCAACCGAAACTTCTTAATACAACGACTAAATGTAACCTATCAAGGTACTTCGAAATGTCCAATTAATTATTAACATGTATTTTTTAAGTGCAAACATCGTGTATCTATTTTTAAATACCCTCTCTTTCCAATGTCAAAGAGTCAGTGTGGTCTAAGTGTGTGGCGCGGGGTAATTCCAGTCAACCCCAAACACTGGATCATCGCTGATAAAGTTAATAACTCTTGGCCAATGTCTGCGCTGATGAAGCTCTAGACCGTAAGCGATGTAGTCCTTGACGTACCCAAACTCTATCAAGTCCCACATCGGACCTACTAGCTTCCTACCCGGCCTCTTTGGCCCTAAAATTGTACAAAATACATATAAATATCATTATCAATCAGAGTTTTCAGTTTGAAACTATTTACATTAGATTGGTAGATGATTTAAGCTTTGCTAAAAATGATTAACACATTTGGTGATTTTGGGGTTTTCTATGCCAAGGTTTTCGTAAGGGAACGACACAGAGCCTGGCTTAGTCATTAGTAGACTATACCTTTTGTTGGGTAGATTTAACTGATATCCCATTGAATAGTACCTGGTTAAAGAGTAGATCCTTCCTGATACAGGTTTTATTGATAGATTCGTGATGTGTTCGTCATACGATAGAATTATAATGTTAAAATGACATTGGCCCCTAAAAACACGAAGTTAAACTTTACATGTTTTCACATACAGTAAAACTTATAAATATATTAGCCTTTGAATTTTATGTTTGATAAAATTAATTTCACAAAATTTAATTGCTAGACGATACCTTTTAGGTAACAATCAGGAATAAACAACGTTTTAATGTTTCAATATGAAAATATGTTTTATCCAATGGTGGATTGTTGCACTGTATTATTATTACAATGATAAATTTAGTAAATAGTACCTATATGAAATACTGTAATAACTTTTAGGTTTTTTTTTAACATCACCGAACATGTCTGTTAACTTATCGAGGACTTTCGTAATTTAAATACTGTACATCAACAAATATACGGACATTTAGGGATATCTACCCAATGTATACAATTCTTGGAATTAATACTCTGTTTAATACGATTCAATAAGACTTATCTAATGTCTTGAATACATACTGTGAAACCTGCCGTAGTTACCGATGTAGGCGAACTCTACACACATCTTGGTGACTTCTGGCCACTGTTGATTGACATGAGGACTCACTGTCCATCCTCGGCCTTCGTATACTCTACCGTCGCCACCGACCAGGAAACTGGGAACAGAACAGAAGACGCAGAAGTAGATGTGTTTTGTAGCTAAAACATATTCCTTTACTAAGAAATTCACGAAATACGTTCTTATCCCAAATACTTTGATGATTCAAAGAGGCTTGGGAGCAATCAAATTACCCATTTGAGTGGAGTGAGAATTGCGTTTGGTATTAGGTTGTATGTATATTATTAGTAGCTAATTGTAGTTTTTTATATCATAAAGAATCTCATATTCTGTAGCTTATGTACTAAGCTACAGCTAAGCTGTAGCTTATATTGTAGCGTTCATGACAAAACGCAAAACATGTATACATACTTAATCAAATACTATAGTGAAATAGTTTGTCGCGCTAAAAATTATTTCCACTAAATACAAATATTATCAGGTATATTCTGTTAACATTATTGGTATTTTTATCGTTACTTCAAGGTAACAACACCATTAGGTGTGTATTTTTAGCAAAAAATCACGGACTAACTAATGTTTTATCTAAGGGAGTATGTTTTATCTACGATAATATGAATTCAAGATGAGTGTAGTGGGCAAATACAGGGAGCTAAAAAGGGGATGAAATTGGAAGTCGTACTGGTGGGGGCAACTGCTAAAAAATCGAGACGCTGTAAAATTTTGTTTGGTGGTAACAACCAGGTGAATCAATTCAGCTCATTGACTCATGACTTCATTGCACTCCAACAATATCATATATTCCCTTAGTTCTAATGAACAACGTACTATGTACTTGATACCTCAGTACACATGGCGGCCAACGTTTTGCATTTGCCACATTCAGTGCTACCTCCGGTTGTATCTGAAGCTCATTGATCTAATGTTGTCTCCTCTCTACCTTTTTAGCAGTTTCTTCAGTAATTCTGTTACTGTCAAAGACGGGTTGCTTCTTTAGCTGAGATAATTTATTACAGCACAATTTTGTAGGAAATCTCTTTGCATTTATCACAGAAACTACCTGATTATCTAACAAAATCAATAAACCTACTTGTACTTGATATCAGGCAGTCCTTGATCCAAGTGTTTCTTCTGGATGTACTGCATCTTGAGGACGCAGGACTCAGGGTCGGAACACGTCCTGGTCCGCGTGTGGTTGATGATGACATGAGTCACCTCGGCCTCCTCGACGTGGTCAACGTGCCGCGGGGGGAGTGCGCCCCACTCGCTGCGAGGGACGATGGGGATGTCGTGACAGAACTCCTCGTACTTGGGCTTTGTAGGGTACCCGGGTGGTGGAGGCCAGGTTCCAGCACCCATACCGAGGATCTTGGCTGCCTCCTCGGGTGTAGCGTGTCTGGCATACTTGTACTCCGTGGTAGCCATGGTCACCAGATTTCCTAACTGGGTTCTAGATAATACAAGTGTAGGTGTAATCAAAACAGGTGTGCACACTATGGCAAAGATTTAAAAATTGTTTAGCAATAATTTTATTCATTTAAAGGGAAACAAAAATTTCGTACCATATCGAGAATAATGTTTGATAATTTCAAGATAGAAGTGAATTGATTAAGATTCTTAAAAATGTATTGTTGTGTGAATAGATTATAGTTGATCATGAGTAAAATGTTATTGGCAAGATCTGTCAAAAAAGTTTTAAAATAAAAATTGTTAATTTAAATGAGTTGTGTTTGTGTATGAAACAAAACAAATCATGAAGGCTACGAAATAAATTAAGAAAAATTATAAATTTGTTTATTAATAGATTGCCAACCATTTATAGAATAAGTCAACTAAAATTAATTTTCTCTTTGTATTTTATTAGTTTCCTTAATTTATTTAATGATAAAGTCCTTCGCATAATTTCACTCAAAAGAAAGATCTAGCTTTTCTATCCTTATATAGCGCTCCTTAATAGGATCCTCCTAATTTATCAATCCTAATTAAGCTAACTTATGCTGAACAATATTCCCACTATTAGATGTACCAAATCGTATCTAAATACAGTAAAGCAAATAAAACAAATATAGGTCGTTATTACTTACCAAATAATAAGTAAAACCAGTATTTGCAATAGCTCCTTTTCACAATCTTGTCCTCCAGCATTTGCTATTGAACACATTTGTTTACTAACAAAGTAGTTTTAGCCTACTTAAGCTTATATTAATGGAATAAACGTACACGCCTCATTCAATTTAAAACTAGTTTATCTCATTATACAGATTTAGATGAATGTAATATTTCACAGTCGAGCTTATCAAAATATGTAACAGTAATTACAGTAACTTGGGATTTATCAGTTTCAATATGAGTATATCTGTATTATTGTGTGTTGGAATTTGTAAACATAAACTATTATCATGATTGTCTTCAGTAAACGTGCATTGCCAGGTTTGAAAATATAATATTTTGTTGCGTAGATTATAGATTCAATCCTTAAACCAGTTATAACCAAATATAAAGAATGATAGGCAAACAATTTTAACGATAGACAAACTACACACATTCATTAGGTAAAAACAGTTTATTGTGAACAATATTTGACTGTAATAGTATCCTATGGATCTTACAACTACCAATTAATTTACAATTCTTAGAAAACCCTTACAACTGAACATTTTTCAGTAGTATCAGTTGTAAGGGGTGTTTTCGAACAGCCCCTCTTTGCCGTAGTATCTCTCGTGTTCAGGGTCGTAAGGCATCACAGTGTCTTTTCTGTTCTCAAAAACTTTGTAGTCAGGTTTGAGGAATCCAGCGTTGACTCCGTAGTCCGCTAGACATTTGACTGCCTGCATCATCTCTTCTGGAGGATTTATGTCTGGATGCAAAGCACATTTTACGGTTTGATTACGGTTTGATTACAAATTACATTCTATAAGCCATTTGTGTACCATCACAAAATGAAACGGGTTAAGGCAAAAAAATAAATTATACCTCCTAAAAATTGAATAACTGCAGATAAGGACCTGTATTCTGTTGTGTAGGGTGATGGACACACATTCTGTGTAGGTGTGGTTTTATTTGTCTTGTGTTTACTAAAAAGATCTATGATTACTTGCACAGGAAGTGTCTTATCAATAAAAACATCCTTAGCTTAGTTCGCTTATAAAAAAAACGTGCAAGTTCTTCCAATTAATGGTCTATGACTTATTGATATTTTTCTCTTTTTTAATGGTTTAGCATAACATGACAATGACTATACAACTATCTTAAAAAAAAGTGTTGAAATATAAAAAAAAGTTAAAAAACCGCTTGGATTCAGAATTTGTTTCACAGATTTACTTTCCTTCATAATTAAGTCGGAAGCACAACCCTTGGCATACACATATTAGATTTCAGTGTAAAATAAAAATGGAATGTAGCTGAATTAGGCTACCGAGAAAGTATATTGATGCAAAACTATTATTGGCGTTAGCTGTATAACTAAACCAAATTGTAAGGACAACTTGTCTTAACTAAGACCTCTGTTATGTCTTAAAAATTAATTATTACGGCGATAAAAATGTTTACATTTTATATTGCAGCACGTTATGAGAGTAGCTTATTTAACTATGATGTTTTATTTACAATTTGGCTACATGGAACGTTTACATTACCTTGGTAGTCGCCTATAAGCGCTATATCGTAGCTCTCAGTGTAGAAGTCCAGTAGGCGCATGTCCTGCTTGGTCGGGGTGTTGTACCACCCTCTCCCTTCATACACACACCCGTCTCCACCTACCAAGAAACTGACATCAACTTGTATTGGGCACTGGGCGAGGAGTAAGGGTGCACAGGTTATAATCATAACTAAAAAAAATAATCCAGAGGTAGTTTGAATTATTTCTCCGTATGAAAAATAAACATATTATAATGTACGTATAAAATATTAAGACGTAAATCTTCGACGTTAATTTAATTATCACAGTCAAGTTAAAATTTTATCTGTGTAGACAAACTACTATATTATAAAAAATACGAGTAAACATTACATTAATTAACACCAATAAAATAATTTTATTCGTACTTAGTTCCACATTTTTTAATAAAAAATAAGAGACCAAAGTATAATTACATTGCTCAAGAAACTGAATTGATTTTTACAGTTGTAATAGTAATGGTTAACTACTGTATAGTATACTAGTTACTTTTAAGAAAATAAAATATACGATCAAAAGTAGTTCAGCAATGTAGTCTCAATTGTATTTTGAACTAGCTTAAGCTGTTCGGTTGGTTTATTTACTTCCTTATGTATAGCTTATGTGCAGTGCAGTTCATACTAACAATTATGTTTAAAAATTAACATACAAATATGAGCAGGCCAAAGTATACTGTTAAAAACTCTGTAACATCACATTTTTTGTAAAGATAATGGAGTAAGCTACACAATGTATAGTAGCCTATTAGGGTTATAGTTTATTCATTATATTATACATTACATTATACAATGAGGTGTTCATTATATCCACCTAATTAAAATAGCACATACGTGTCAGTTATACTGAAAATGATAGTACTGTAATTACAACTTAAGTTATTCGGATAAAATGTAATCCCATAGTAAAATGTACTTACGGTATATTAATATTTGTACTTTGTGTCCATGCAACTTATATTTATAGATGGTTGCACTTTTTGTCATGCAGCCTACAATTATACATGGGTAATTTATTTTTCTATGCAGCCTATATTATACATACTTTACTTTATGACATGTAGGCAACGTTATAGATATTTTTAGTTTATTTCCATGCAGCCTATATTATACTTACTTTACTTTATGTCATGTAGCCTACATTATAGATATTTGTAGTTTTTCCCTATGCAGCCCGTATTATATATACTTTACTTTATGTCATGTAGGCTACATTATATGTATTTGTAGTTTATTTCCATGCAGCCTATATCATACATACTTGTACTCTATGACATGCAGCCTATATCTATACATACTTGTACTTTATATCCATGTAGCCTAGCAGTTTCATATGGTTCTTTTGCAGTGTGTTTACTATATTGCAGCAGTCCTCAACACAGTGACAGAAAGGAGATCTGGTGTAGTATTTGATGACAATCCAAGGCACAGGCAGAGTTTGTGGGTCTTGGTAGAAAGGTTTTGTCGCCCCCCATTCTTTACGGGTTACCAACTTAAGAGGCATGACTGGATGAGCGTAGGGGTTCTAATTTTGAAACAAAATGTTAAACTAGTATAGTAGAATGTGCTAAATAATAAACACGCGTAACTCAAAATATCTTGATTGGCTTAGTGAGAAGTAATTCTTTTAAAGTAAATATATAAAATTGAACAGATTGATCTGTATAATTTATTCTGACGTTAAAATAGGATTCTAACTTTAGAATTTAAGATATCTTTGTTTACCCGAAATTGTGGGGTTGAAATATACCCCTGAAAACACTTAGGCAAGCTACCTAATCTAGAGTTAGAAAACAGAGCCAAATGGCTGAGTCAACCAATTAAAGAATTCACAACAGTCACACTTCGCTAAATTTGTCTCAAAATTTATAATTAATTGTAATGACTAATTTGAAAATTTCATTAATTAAGAATATTATTATAATTTATGACTCCCTTGGTAATGACAGTAAACGGTAAATGTTGACTAACGATGATTTTGTGTTGATGTTGACTTACAAATCATAAAATATTAATTGGCACAGTTTATTTACGACTACAAGTTATATAGTTAGTAAACAAACTTTACCTAGTTCCAGATCACAGATTTAATATACAATATTATTGTTCAGTTATGAAGTGCGGCTTGTAAACTGGTGATTGATTCATACTTTGACTTATAGAATCGGTTTGATAAAACAGTTTTGATAACAAATCCTATTTATGGTCTAACTAGATAGCTCTTTTTAAACATGCTATAGCTCAACATACAGTGAAATCAAAACGCATATATCTATTTTAGTTTGTGTTTAGTTAAATGTGTGAATATTAAATTACTTTTTCTGCAATATCCATTATTTTAAAGTGATTTTAGGTAAAACCCCCGTAATTTTATTACGTTATAAAAACAATTTCATCAAATTCAACACACTTTGACCTGAGGAATAAAACTTTGTGTCATATTTTTTACATTACGGTTAAGGTTAAGGTACTGAAACTTTGTAAGAAACAATTAAAGTTAATTCCAAATAATCTCGAAAATGTATTTAACTATTTAAGAGTATACTTGTACCACGTTAGGAGCTTAGGATAAAAATAATTTAAAAGAGATTTCTATTCAAAGATGATCGTAGAGGTTTACTGAAACACTTGAGCCTCAATAGTCAATTAGGCTTACAAGCAATTTAGGTATTTGAATAAACAAAAACCGGCCTACCATTTGACCGAAAAGTTACTTTTTTGACATGCCAGTTGAACGAATTTTTAAATAAAACAAATAATTTTGCAACACCTTTTTGTCTTTATGTTATTTGGTAGGCATGCCATGCCAGTTGATCGAAATAAAAATAAAACTATGACACACCAATATTCTGTCATGCTATTTTGTCCCTCCTACATTACTTACTAAGGTCAAAAGTTGTGAAACCGATTTTTTCTTTGGTTAGAAACCTTTAATGCACTCTCATTGTGAAAACAGAGGTAAAACACTCGAAATTGACGAATAACCCCCGCTTTCTTGGTAAACATTGCGAAGCCCGCAAGCTAAGATCTCTTTGTCAGAATTACAAAAACCGAAACCAATTCACTTCTAACCGCGAAATCGCAACGACCGCAACCGTATGCAAATTAATTTCCAAAAATCTCCAAACTACCGGGCGGCACTCGAGGGTCCTTGACCCATTTCCCCGCCACTCGGGACAATGGGATGATTATTTCCCTCCATTTCTCTAAGCCGCCATTCGTCCGTTGCATCACCTGCCATGTAAGGCAGCTCAAGGCGGCCAATACTCAAGCACTGCTAATTGCAAGGCCTTCCTGCGCTGCCGGGAAATCAGGTTAATACCGCGGGTTAGGGTAAAAGGTCGCAACTAGGCGTTGTACTGAGCTGTTAGTATAAGTGTTAATGTAGGGTAGGAAGTGATGTGAGAGTCACGCGCCGACGGACATCAGTGACTACTTAATATGAATGTAACACTCTTTCTTTTCTGCTGGAATGATGACGTATTCCGACACGTACTAGACACAGTTTTCCTTACGGCATTCCAAAGTGCTGTTAACCCAATTCAGTTAAGGGTTGTTGATTTTATTTTGTAAATTGTCAACATCTGATTGGTACTTTTATCGTAAACAAAATTGTTAAGTTCATGGAGACGCGAACTTAACATCTCTGAGACCTTTCCATCCATCGCTGATTTAATGTTATCTTTTTCACCTAAACATTTTATCTCTTCCTGTACCTAGCTTATTTTCTATTTTTCTGTTGCAAAAAGTGAAAGCAACATCGCATGTCAAAATCACTGGATGTCTACGTGTAGTTGTAGTCGGGTTTTTAAATACCTAGAATCAGTGACATTCCCTACGCCTTGTAAGCGTTGACGTGGTGGCGTGGAATGCGTGTTAAATTGATTAATTGCTAATGATAATATCCAGCGCTGAACACCTCCCGGGTGCTTAATCACTTCGGACACGCGCGGGAGAAGTGGCCGGATTGGCGGGAGAGGTGGCCGGATTGGCGGGAGAGGGGCGTCGTAGTCAGGTGGCAGTTGGACTGGTTGTAACCAGAGCAGGTCTACGAGTGATGGATTGGGGCGATATGGATGACGCGTCAACGGCTCCCAAAGAACCGATAGAGAAAAGGATGTGTAAAAAACTGATGCAGAGAAAAATAATAATCTTCTAAATGTTTTTTTTCTAAATTTTTTTCTAAATGTATTCCGTAAAAAAAGTTAGCATTATTAAGTTATCATGACGAGAGTATTTTAATAGGTAGTTAGTTCAACGATTGTGGAACGGTAATAGAGAAAAACGCTATCATGATCTTTTCATAGCACCTTTTTACATTTTCACAATACGCTGAGAAGAAAGCCCAGAGAGTGGACATTTCCACTGCGTAACCTTCCCCCAATTTATTTATTTATTTCCAACGGACATCTCCATTTTTCAGCTATGCAAATCAAAACCATAAACTCAGGAAGGCTTAATTGATAATAACAAATGTTGTGCTTATAGACTAGAAATAAAATCAACATTATAATAATGATCTAATAACAAACAACAGTAACAATGACAGACCTAGTCGAACATGGAAAATAAGTAAAGGCATTACAGCAAATAACAGCATTCCTTCTACAGAAAATGGAGACAATTTCTAAATCGCTATACTCAAACAAATTGAGGTAAATTAATTAATGATAGAGGAAAAAGTACCCAGGGAAACTTTTGTTATATTCTTGGCTTCTTAGATAAATGCTGTAATCAAATGAAACTAGTACATATTTTTATGCAAATTTTAGAAGTTCTCAAATCATAATTTAAAATTACCAACAGATAAAGATTAACAGCGTTATGACGCCCCTTCAATGGAGAAACATGGAATGGCATCTCTTGTTGAGGACATTTTCATTCAAAAAATATTTGGGTAACGATATCAACTTAGGATTGTTGACTGACAACTTTTATACAGCGAGTTTCAGGTGAAGACAATTCGAGCTTTGGTCCTATAATGAAGACATCCTCTGATGATTTCCTCATGATGAATCGTCAGTCTACAGTCGAATGTTGGTGACAGTAATGTGAATATGCAACTTCATCAGTCATTTGCCTCTTCGGCTCCACGCTACCTACTTGGTAAGCTCGTGTCTACTGCAAACAAATTGAGTTTAATATATTGATAAACAACACACAAAGCACAGAGGTTGAACTTGCAAATTTGAATTCAGAACAGTTAATGGCAAAGGAAAACTTGGGTTTCATCTAAACACCTTAAATATCATTTAGTATTTAGTAGATTTAAGCTGACATTGTTTTAAAAACATACTTTGATAAACATATTTTTAACATAACATTTCGGTAAAATTTATCTTCCTTCGTACATCCTTATCACCATTAAAATTTTGTTCTGAAGAAAATCCTTTCATTAAGCATTGTATCCTCTTCCAAAATAAATATATAACAAAATAGAACAGTTGTTAACTAATTAACAGCGTGCTTATAGTTGTAAATTATATACGATTATTGCATCTCTGTGAAAAAGGGTGAATATTGAGAGTTCCTACGGTAAATGATTTTGAGTCAGAAATTAATAAAAATAATTCAACATAAGCATTCCGCACAACCCACCACCCATATCTCCACTCAGTGAATTTGCACGGTGACGAGTCAAATGTTTATTTAAATACCCAAATGCTAAAATTATACCTATAAACAACTGAAACACAATGGAAGATACTTTATAACATACCAAACAGATTTATATTACTTTTGAAGTTATTTATAGAATTATATTACCAATAATGAAGATCTTTGTGATTGTGTTTGGAGATTGATGAGTAACATCCTTAAACATGAATAATCATAACGATTGTATACATATTCATATATAGCCTAGCTGTTACATAAGACCCGCATATCACACTCCCGATACTGAGCGTCTCTAATGGTCGAGAATGTCCAGGATGCAGGATTAGAACGTCCGAGAGCTCTAAACTCGCGATAATACTGCGCGCGGCTGCATTATCTCTTCTACGGAAACTTGCTCGCGTCTCCTCCGATTCGACGAGCTTTCTGAGGACTTAACAACATTAATTGTGCTTTCGTTTCTAATTTGCGAGGTCGTATGGCTTACTTTGGTTTTATTGGCTGAAGGCTTACCGCAATGCTAGTTGCGATTCGATCAGTAGAGTTTAACAGGACTAGGTCAATTAAGCAAGGTGGTTATATTTTATTGATCGTCATGAAAATTGTCTAATTGCCTAATCAATGATAGTGTGAAAGTATTTATATGTGTTACTGTCGTGAGTATTTTGTTTATGAGGAGTGTAATCAGTGTTCTATTACAATTTTTAATTTTTACTTCCCTCTAGTTTGGTATTGGACTTTAAACTCTGAATTAGTAAACTTAAATGAGTTTTAGTGCTTGAGTAGGTTCCAGAGGCACCCCCAAACATATCTGTTGGAAATGTAGAGTTCTGATAGGTCTAGCATGAAGATGAGTCGGTGGCTCAGTCGGTAGCGCCACGGGCTTCGGGCCCGAGGCAGCGATGTCCTGGGTTCGGACCCTGGTTACTGCCTCTACCTTTTATCAATACAGTTCATCCTTGTACTATCATCCCTTGCTTTGCTTGACATGCTCCATGCTCAGGCCTCTGTGACCCACGTGGATGGGAAAATGCAATGTAAAATAGGCCGCAAACCTATAAATAAACAAATTAATTATCTCCACACAAGCTCTGAATTGCTATTGCCAAACATCCAACTGCTAGAGTTGTTTTATCCTGAAATATATTAAAATTACCTTATACATGATCCTCCACTATATAAAAAACATTTATGAGTTATTTCAGACAAAAATGCATTAACTGTTAATTCTCTTACGGACGAATATTGTAATGTAATCGTAAGAGTCAAATATACGTTATTACGTAAGTATATGTGTAAGTATATGTAAATACATTGAGTTTATCTCTTATAAGCTAGAGATTAATCAGATCTACAAATGTTGTAATTAATATTTAATAAAAAAATTGTGTACCCACTCTCAAAGTGCATCAACCACTCCAATATTCCCTAGTTTCAAACCAATACTCCACTAACTTCTCATTAGCAAAATGAAGACAGAATAAAAAACAACATTGAATACATCAACGGCAATTGTAATTTACAA